GCATCTTGTCACACAGATTTCTCCAGCTGCCTAAAGAGAATATAAACACGGTCATCTTCATTGTCGAGAATGATTCTATCTATGCTTATATCCAGACTAAACCAAGGAATACCTCCAAGCTAATCTTCCGTGGCTAAAATACAACTAGTACCATTATTCCTAATTAGACTAATAAATAGATATCTTTTAATGAATTAGATGGCTGTTTAATTTTTTTTTTCAGGATTCACTTTGGATTCTTCTGCTTTAAGACCCAAAGCACGTTATTGAGTTTTTTTTTTTTTTTTTTTTTTTGGTGATTCTAAGTATATGTGTTTATAACAGTTGAAGTGTGAATTTAACATATTAAAAGAGTTTTACAGCATCTGTTCAGAAAAGATTGTATACTATGCAAACTATTCAAGTCATACAAAACCATTTTTGCAGTGTCTTTTCAACTGAGAAGAATTCTATTCAGCACTCTTCTCCTTCTGAGGTGGTTCATACTGAACAAGCTTTGCTTTCAGTTTTTTATTTTCTTCTACAGTAGCTTCATATTTTTCTTTCATTTCTGCCCATTCTAAGCTGGGCAACTCTATTTCTGGATTTTCTAGGGTAGCAGCTCTTAAGTGATGCTTTAAAAAATCCAGGGGCTGGGGATGTGGCTCAAGGGGTAGTGCCCTCGCCTGGCGTGTGTGCGGCCCGGGGTCGATCCTCAGCACCACATACAAAGATGTTGTGTCTGCAGAAAACTGAAAAATAAATATCGTTCTCTCTCTCTCTCTCTCAAAAAAAAAAAAAAAAATCCAAAGCACTATTAGGTTTCTCTGGTTCTTCATCTAAGGCTACCAACACCTTGGTCAGCATGTCCAGCACCCCCAACTTCTCCAAGTACCTCTGGAACTGCTCGCACTTCTAGTCGGTGGCTTTGTAAAGTGTCTGTAGTGACAGTGGCCACTGCGTAGTTGGTGCTGTGTAGCTGGTGGCTGGCCGGCTCCGAGGAGCACTGCTTGCGAGATACTTTTTAAATGTAAGAATTTATTTTTGCAGCTGACCTCATTTTTCCCCTGTAGGTCTGACAACTAGTTGAATTTTCATTTTCAGATGTGGATTGTTAGTTCTTGTCCTTCTATGCTCATGTTTTCTTTTTGTGTGTGATTGTGTTTTCTATGTTTTAAACCAGTGAACTTAATCTTGGCAGCTCTCATGTTATAGAAATTGTGTTTCTGTTTTTCTACCACAAAACGCCTCACTGAGGAAGAAAACTCACCCCTCCAAACCTGATGTTCACCCAGCCAGCCCCTCTGCTCTCTCCCAGGACAGGAGTCCCTTCAGCAGGACACACGGACTGCAGGTCCTATGCAGCCCCAAACTCTACAGTTTGGGGACTTTAAAAAAAAAACATTTTTTTTTTAGTGCATTTTGGCTGAAATATAGGAAAACTGGTGTCCAGTGAGATGACGTGGGTTCTTGGATAGAGACATTCCTATTTGAGGTCTCTCAGAGAGGGCTGGTGAGCAAGGAGAGGGCTTGGGGCTGGGACCTTTGGCCTTTGGCCCTGTCTGCATCCAGGAGTGGTCAGGCCAAATATTTACAGGGCCCCTTCAGAGTCCCTGCTGTCCATGGGGTCAAAAGGGACTACCTCTCTCTTGTTTCTGACACAGGGAATCCATGTCCTCTCTCTTCCTGGTGAGCCTGGCTGGAGGTTTACTTATCTTTTAGCTTTATTATCTTTTGAGAGCCAACTTTTTTTATTTGATTTTCTCTATATTTCCTGTTTTCAATTTCAAAGATTCTGTTCTAATTTTCAGTTTTTTTTTTTTTTTCCTGCCTTAGGTTTAAATTGCTCTTCTTTATCCTGTTTCTCAAAGGAGAAGTTTAGATGGTTGATTTTAGGTCTTCTCTTTGTATCTTTTTTGTGTGTGTTGGCACTGGGGTGGAGGCCAGGACCTCTGGCCCGCTAGGCACGTGCTCTTCCACTGAGCTACACCCCCAGATCGTCTTTTTTTTAAAAACAAAAGCATTTAATGCTGTGAATTTCCCTCTACATATTACTTTGCTGCATCCCATAAATTTTGAAAAGTTGCTTTTCCATTTACATTGAGATCAAACTATTTGCAAGTTCTCCTGAGGCTCCTTTTTCTCCCGTGTGTGTTATTGAGAAGGATGTTGTTTGATCTTCGATCCTGTGGAGACTTTTGCAGGTGTGTGATTTCTGTTGTTAATTCTCGTGTGGCCTGAGCGCTTTGCATGATTTCTGTTCATCTAACTCTGTCGGCTGATCTCAGGGTGCAGAGTGTGGTCTCCTTAGGGGGATATTCCCTGTGAGCTTGTGAAGAACCTGTCCCCACTCCTGCTGTGTGGAGGAGACTGTCCATGAGACCGGCTGAGCCCTGGTCCGTCCAGGTCAGTCAGACCAGTACTAATTTTCTGTCTGCAGGATTGGTCGGTGACGGGAGGAGGGTGTTGACAGACCTTTCTGTAGGCATGGATCTCATTCTCCCTGCATCTCTGTCATTTCTTGCCTCCAGCGAGAGACCCTGCTGTTAGGGATGTGCCTGGTGAGGGGCCTTGTGTCCACTCTTCTCAGTGTGGCCACCAGTGTCTTTCTGCCTCCCTTTACAGCCCGTCTGAGTCTTTATACTTAAAGTGGGTTTCTTGTATGGTTAGGTCTTGTTTTTTTATCCTCTGACAATCTCTTGTCTTGAGCTGTGTACTTAAACTATTCACAAAGTGATTTTTTAATACACTGGTAAATATCTACTGTGTTTGTAAATAATCTCTCGGGGTCAGCCTCTCTGTGTCTCTCCCTCTTGCCTCATCCACTGAGAAAACTACTTATCAGTGTTTTCCCAGTGATGTCCTGAGTAGTCAGCCGGCATCTTGTCTAGCTGTATGTGCAGCAAACACTTCCTGCTGGGGGCAGTGGCCACGACTGTCGTCCCAGCTGCTCGGGAGGCTGAGGCAGAAGGACCACAGGTTCAAGGCCAGCCTGGGCAACTTAGTGAGACCCTGCCTCAAGATAAAAATAATTTTAAAAAGGGCTGGGCCAGAGTGCTTGCCTAGCATGTGCAAGGTTGGGATCCAATCCCAGCATCACAGAAACAAAACAAAACAAGATAAATGCTTCTTCGTACCTGGGTGAGAACCCGGTGTCCAACACTGGGGCAGTACAAGTTTAAATCATGGCCCACTGGCCTGGAGGAGTGCCATGCAGCAGGTAAAAGGGCCAGTACATGTGTATGTCCAGAAATAGAACAAACCCTAACAGATATTGCTAAGTGGTTCACAGGCCAACATGCACGTTATGATTCTTTCACGTCAAGACCGTGTGTGTGCATGTGTAACACAAAGGAGAACCTCTGGCACAGTGGAAACTGGTGTGCTGATGGTGGATTTGGGAAATCGAAGAAGTATTAGTTACATTTCTTTAAGACAATAAGTGTATTCATATATTCACGAATGTGTGAATGCTTGTTTTTTAAACAAGCATTTTTAAAATGAAAGGCTTAAAATTGCGTTCCCTCAGAAGAGAACATCTGCATGGCTTAGGAACCTTCTGGAACCTTGTCATGGGCTCATCTGCTGTAGGCCCACAGGGCCATGATGTCCCCAGAAGCAGCCAGTCTCAGCGCTGTGTCCCTCCAGTCTCCCAGACTCTGGGCACAGTGATTCCAGGTGGACAGTCTTGGCTAGAAGGTGGACACTGAGGCTCACAGGACAGGAGCCTTGGCTGGCCAGGGTAGAGCTGGAGCCCCCAGAACTTTGGGGGCAGAGTAGCCGAGTGCTGGAGTACGTTGGGGGGCCTGTGGGGAGGCACGCTGGTGAGGGTGGCTGGTGTGTCCCTGGGCTGCTTGCTTAGGATTTCCAGAGGCCCATGGGCCTGGGGGCTTTCACGAGGTTGGAACAGACTGCAATTTTCAGGAAGGGCTTAAGGACCCAGGGGCATTGCCCCTTGAGGGCTCCAGGCAGCCTGCTGGTTATTTTCCAGGAATGACTGGCTTTTCTGCCAATTAGACGTTGTGTCAACTGAAACGAGCCAGGGCTGGAGCCCTCAGTGGCCTTAGGTAACAATGGGATCCAAACCCATTCGATTCATGACCTTGAAGCCCACTCTTTCTGTTTCTCCTGGAGATGAGGAGCCCACGCATGCAGAATCTCTGGTTGCAGTTATGCCCCAGGTAAGCAAGGGCATCCCACCTGAGGGAGGCGGGCCTTCCCCATGCCCTTGGGCCTCCCCCATGCCATTTGGCCTCCCCCATGCCCTTGGGCCTCCCCCATAACCTTGGGCCTCCCCCATGACCTTGGGCCTCCATTACCAAGGTTACTTGGTAATTTCAATAGTGTGCAACTAAGTCCCCTGGCACTTGGAATCAAGAATGCGTGGGCACATGGCTGCATGAGACCTCAGGAACACCCCCAAGCTTTGCAAATTTCCCCTGGCAGAGTGGGGGTGTGGGTGGCCTCTGTCAACCTTTGATGGAAGAGAAGCAGGCTCCACTGCGTGTCAGGGAGTTTGTCCCCAAGGCCTGTCCCTGCTGAGCATGGCGTGGTGGAAAGCTGTTATTTCCCTCTCCAGTCTACAGGTCCCATGAATTCAAAGTGGCTTCCAGGTTTTCTTGGGAGGTGGCCGGGCAGGTCAGTGGGAGAGTTAGTCAGGGCTCTGTGACCATTGTCAAAATTCAGCTCTAGCTGGGTGTAGTGACGCACACCTGTAATCCCAATGACTCGGGAGGCTGAGGCAGGAGGATTGTGAGTTCAAACCCAGCCTCAGCAACTTAGCAAGGCCCTAAGCAACTCAGTGAGACCCTGTCTCTAAATAAAATACAAAAAAGGGCTGGGGATGTGGTTTAGTGGTTAAGCACCTCCAGGGTTCAATCAACTCTTATCTCAAACAATTCTCGGCAACTAAATGCAGAAAGCAAAGTTGTAAAATGTGTTTTGGGGAAAAATGATGTTTTAAAGACATGGGGTGAGGCTAAATTTCTTTGATCAAGACATAAAAGCACAAACCACAGAAGTGTGATAATATATTATTATATTAAAAAAATGAACTCCACAGTACAGGCCTAGGGGTGCAGCTCGGTAGTAGAGTGCTTGCCCAGCAGACACAAACTCCTGGGTTCCATCGCTAGTGCCACACACACAAATGTGTGTAGGACAAAAATCAGTACAAATTTAAAAGACAAGTCTCAAGTTTGAAAACATATTTGCACAAAAACAATAAAGAATCATTATCCACCTATATACAACTTACAAATTAATAAGAAAGACAATTAACAATAAGCAAGGAACATAAGCTAGCCAATATCCAAACAAAAGACTCTAAACTTTACTTAAATTAGTGAAATGCAAATTAAAACAACTGACACTTCTTCATAGTCAGCTTAGTAAAAACTAATAAGTCCCCGACACCAAAGAGAGTGAGGATATGGCCAAAGAAGAACTTGAATGCATAGTTGGTGGGAGCACGAGTTGGTGGCACCATCTGGACAGCCTGGCCATCTCTAGGAGAAGTGGAGATTCCTGGCCCTAGCACTTCTAATTTAGTGCTCAGAGACACTTCTATGTAGGAGAATGTTCATGAAAACATGAACAGCAGAAATTGGAAACACATGGTAACAAAAATCGGAGACGACCTAGTATCCAATAACCGAGGAATGGAAAAACTCCCTGGTGATAAGTGAAACGCCACCATGAATGAGCTGTACAGTCATCAAGTGTACCCAGCAACGTAATGTGGAATGAAACCAACAAATTTCAAAAGCACATGCACAGTTGACATTATTTATAAAAAATAAAGACACATGCAAAGCAAAGCTCTATATCATTGTTGTGTTGTTATTTCTAGACACATACTTACATAACCAAAAGATCACAAGTGGGAAGAGAGGGGAGCCTGATGGCAGAACCAACAAACTCCGACCAGTGGGCAGCCAGGAGGCTGGAGCCCTTGGTGAAGGAAAGGTCTGGACACCAGCATTTTGAAATAAAAGAAAGAAGCAAATTCAGTAAAATGTTAAATTTGCTACCTTGGACAAACATATTGTGTTCAGTACTTTTCTTTATGTTTGACATATTTCATGGTGTAAAACAAAAATGTCCTGTGTGGGTCAGTGGAGTGGATACCTACACGCAGAGTCCACGGTCTGAGCCCTGGAGAAGGCCCTGGAACCCCAAGGTCAGTGCGTCTCCCAGCCTGGAGTGGAGGCAGATCCAGGCTAGTTCAAGACGGCTAGTGACACTGTCCTGTAGTGACAGAGGTCCGAGCAGCATCCCCTGAGGCTGGGCTGCCGGGGCTCCGCAGTGCTGTGTCATCAGCGCCCAGGTAGGGCTAGGTGTTCTCCTTACCCCTGTTTGGCATTTGCGGCTCAGAAGGGTCTGCTCACTGGCCCAGGTCACACAGGCAGCCAGGTCTGCCAGGCGCTGCCCTACCCACCAGGCCGTCCAGTGCTCTGACCACTTCCCGCCAGCCTCCCTCTTCTCCCTCTTGCTCACCTATCTGGCCTCACCTGCTGTTGAGTTACGGATGTTCCTGAAAGGGCCAGCTAGCTCCAAGTTTTTGCTTGCCTTTTTTTTTTTTTAATCAGGCTACACGGGCCTTCTCGGGTTTTTCTCCAAACTCACCAGGCTTGCTGCTGCTGAAGGTCTCCAGGACTGGCTGGGCCCTCTCTGAACCTGTCAGGGAGCAGGTGAGGGGTTTGGAATCAGGTCGCCTGGGACTGAATCCCAGCTCTCCAATTTCTTAATGCTCAGCATGCCCTGAGCCTCTCTGATCCTGCTCCCCACCTGCTAACGGAGTCACTGCATTAGGAAAGCCAGGAGGGAGGGAACGCAGGCTCTATGCATGCAGCGCAACGTGCGGTCGGCCCACGGGGCTCCTCTGCCAGGCCCGCAGGGACAGGCGGGGTCCTGGGGCAGCCTTAGAACCGTCCAGAGCTGGGGGTGGGGGCACCAGGGCCCTGGAAGGCTGAAAGCCCTGGAGGCGGTTTCGGAGCCAGTGTGGACCCCCAGTGGAACATCTCCCCCGACAGGGCAAACGCCCTCAGAACCTCTGAGAATCAGTTTCACTTTTAGCAAGATCCCGCTGAGAGGGAAAGCCCAGCAGAGCTCTACCCAGGAGCCGCGCCCTCCGCGCGCCCTCCGCGCGCCCTCCGCGCGCCCTCCGCGCGCCCTCCGCGCGCCCTCCGCGCGCCCTCCGCGCGCCCTCCGCGCGCCCTCCGCGCGCCCTCCGCGCGCCCTCCGCGCGCCCTCCGCGCGCCCTCCGCGCGCCCTCCCGCTCTCGGCCCTGTTGCCCGGGCCTCTTGGAAGCGGGAGCCTCGGGCACTGCTTCCAGGGTTTGATTGGCACCTGCTGAGGCCGTCCGCCCGTGCCTCCCCACCCTCCCCAGCCACCCGGGAAGGCCGGGCAGCGCTTAAGGACCTGGGCCTGAGCAGGCCTCCTGCCGGGCCCTGGTCGCGGTGCCCGGTGGGGGCTCCCTAGGACTCTGGGCTCCTGCCGGGTCCGCAACGTGAACACCCCGCCACCCCAGCCCTATGAGTAAGGAGAGCGTGGACCAAGGGCGAGGGCCGGGGAGGTGGCCCCGTCTTCCAATGCAGAGGTACTCAACCCTGGGGAAGCACTTCCCAGTGACCCTGCCTGGGGTGGGTGACTCCGCGGTGGGTGGGAGACCACCTCCGAGAGCAGTTTGACACCAGATATTAAAGACTCTCTCACAAAAGTCAACCGAAAGACCCGAAGCCCTGCAGCCACCAGGGAACACCGGGCAGCGCTTAAGGACCTGGGCCTGAGCAGAGATGTTTCGGATGCGACCCTCAAAGTACAGAACCAAGCGAAAATGGGCAAGCTCGCCGCAAGCTAAGTGCTGCCCTTCAGCACAGGACACAAACGGGAGTGCTGCAGACTGCCTGTCCTCCAGGGACTGGGACGGAGCAGGGGCAGTGAACAGCTCCCAGCCAAACCCCCACTCAGTCCCGTTAAAAATGGGCAAATGCTGCGAATCGCCAAACACAAATGGTCTTAAATACTTGAAAGTCGCTCAACATCACTCGTCACCAGGGAAATGCAGACTCGGCCCCTCTGAGATGTCACCTCACCCGGGTTAGAATGGTTGACACAGAACAGGTGGAATGACGGGGGGGGGGGGGGGGGGGAGCGGAAAGGGAGCTCTCCCCTCTGGTGGGCGGGATGCAGTCTGCACAACTCTGACAGGGAATGGAAGCTCCTCAACCACTGATCGCAATCCCACTGCTGAGAATGTCCCCAAAGGATCTGGAATCAGTATTTGAAAAAGACCCCTGCAGTGCCTGGGTTGACCCAGCACATCACAGTGACCAAGAGAGGGCCTCCACCCAGGTGCCCCCAACACCTCACTGGATGGAGGAAGTGTGGCAGAGGCACAGATCACTCAGCCACGACCAAGCCCTGTCATCTGTGGCACAGGGAAGGAAGCAGAAGGCGCTGTGTTAAGCAGAGTCAGACACAGGAAGACCAGTGCTGCAGGCGCTCTCACGTCCACGGAAGCTAGACATAGAAAAGCCCATCTCACAGAAGCAGAGAGTACAAACAAACAACCGAGCAAAGGAGAGCCTACAGAATGGTAGGAAATAGTGACAAACTACTCCAGAATATCCAGATATCCAGAATATAGAAGAAAATTGAACTCAAAATAGGAAACATATCAAACCACAAAACCATAAAACTAAGTAAAACCCCCAAATAATTCAGTTTGACAAAAGGCAAATGGACCAGGCATGGTGGTGCACCCCTGTAAGCCCAGCTCCTCGGGAGACTGAGGCAGGAGTCGGAAGTGGAAGTCCAGCCCGGATGTAGGGAGACCTTGTCTGGAGATGAAACCAGAGGGTGCAGCTGGCAGGAGAACTCCCCTCAGCGTGTCAGAGCTGGCTAGATCCCAGCATCACAAATAAATACATATATATATTTTTAACGAAGGGCACATGGTCTGAAGAATGGTTAGCAGAGGCTGGGAAGCTGAGGGGGAGAAGGGAAGGGAGAGAGGTGACTAACACGTTCAGAGTGCAGTAGGAGGAGGGATGACCTCGGGTGTCCTGCAGCTCCACAGGGTCACTGTGGCTGGCAGAAATCGCTCCTTTCAAAACAGCAGCAGACAGGATGTGGAATGTCCATCACAAAGAAATGGTCCATGTTTGAGGTGTTGGATGTGATGATTACATGCGAACACATTGTACACACGTATGGCAGATCATACTGGACCTCATAAATTTGTACAATAACTATGTCAATTAAAACTAAAAGCTCTTCTGAAGCCAAGAGCCACAGTAAACTCTTCCTTAGCTGTTCTGCTCAGGTCTTTTGGTAAAGCAATGATAAGTGACTAAAACACAGGGGAAGGATGAGTTTGGTCTTTGCTATTCAAATAAGATTAGAAATAGGAGTTTCAGAGTCATTTTGAAAAATTCCAATTTCATAACATAATGTGTGTGTGTGAAATGGAATATTATTCAGCCTTAAAAGGAAAGAAATCCTGACACATGCTACAAAATGGATAACCTTAAGGATGTTATAATAAGTAAAATAAACCAGTCACAAAAAGAAAAAAAAACCTAAAAGCTATTTTTATTTTTTATTATTTTTTTATTGATTGTTCAAAACATTACAAAGCTCTTGACATATCATATTTCATACATTAGATTCAAGTGGGTTATGAACTCCCATTTTTACCCCAATTACAGATTGCAGAATCACATCGGTTACACATCCACATTTTTACATGATGCCATATTCGTGACTGTTGTATTCTGCTACCTTTCTTATCCTCTATTATCCCCCCTCCCTTCCCCTCCCATCTTCTCTCTCTATCCCATCTACTACAATTCATTTCTCTCCTTGTTTTTTCCTCATTCCCCTCACAACCTCTTATATGTAATTTTGTGTAACAATGAGGGTCTCCTTCCATTTCCATGCAATTTCCCTTTTCTCTCCCTTTCCCTCCCACCTCATGTCTCTGTTTAATGTTAGTCTTTTCCTCCTGCTCTTCATCCCTGCTCTGTTCTTAGTTGCTCTCATTATATCAAAGAAGACATTTGGCATTTGTTTTTTAGGGATTGGCTAGCTTCACTTAGTATAATCTGCTCTAATGCCATCCATTTCCCTGCAAATTCCATGATTTTGTCATTTTTCAGTGCTGTGTAATACTCCATTGTGTATAAATGGCACATTTTTTTAATCCATTCATCTATTGAAGGGCATCTGGGTTGGTTCCACAGTCTAGCTATTGTGAATTGTGCTGCTATGAACATCGATGTGGCAGTATCCCTGTAGTATGCTCTTTTAAGGTCTTCAGGGAATAGTCCGAGAAGGGCAAGAGCTGGGTCAAATGGTGGTTCCATTCCCAGACTAAAAGCTATTTTTAAAAAGAGAAAAAGCTTTACAAGTGTTCATACTCTTACACCCAATTAATTCTCATTTGGAAACTTTCTATAGAGGGTATATCTTAGATTTGGCACAATAGGGTATGAATAGAGATGTTAAGTGTTGAGATAAATTGAGATGTTTTTAAAAAGGAATATTTAAGTAAATGGTGGGAATCCAGTCAATACAATTTTAAGCTTAAAATTATGAAGTATTATAATTATGAAAATTACATAGGAACAGGGAAAATGCTTGTGGTGTGCTTTTTAAAGACAGCTTGAGCATGATTACAGCCACATAAAAATATTTTAAAATATTGGAAGGAAATAAATACATCAAGGTGTCTTTTCCTTGCCTCCCCGCCCTCCCAGTTTCTGAATTTTTGCAATGTACCTTACTGCAGAGTACCTACTGCAGTGTACCTTACTGCAGTGTACCTTACTGCAATGTACCTACTGCAGTGTACCTACAGCAATGTACCTACTGCAGTGTACCTTATTGCAGTGTGCCTTACTGCAGTACGCCTTACTGCAATGTACCTTACTGCAGTGTACCTACTGTAGTGCACCTTATTGCAGTGTATCTTATTGCAGTGTACCTACTGCAGTATACCTTACTGCAATGACATGCTTTTTACAAGTGGAATTTAACAATAAACTTGTGTTCTCTCCTGTGAGAGGTGTTGCATTGCTGCACTCTTCCAGGCTTGGCCCCAGAGCTAGACATCTCCACCAGAGGTGGCCCCAGAGCTGGACTTCACCACCAGGCGTGGTCCCAGAGCAGGACGTCTCCACCAGGTGTGGCCCCAGAGCTAGAAATCTCCACCAGGCCTGGCCCCAGAGCTGGACTTCTCCACCAGAGGTGGCCCCAGAGCTGGACGTCTCCACCAGGCGTGGCCCCAGAGCTGGATGTCTCCACCAGGCCTGGCCCCAGAGTTGGACTTCTCCACCAGAGGTGGCCCCAGAGCTGGTCTTCACCACCAGGCATGGCCCCAGAGCTGGACGTCTCCACCAGAGGTGGCCCCAAAGCTGGATGTCTCCACCAGAGGTGACCCCAGAGCTGGATGTCTGCACCAGACCTGGCCCCAGAGCTGGACGTCTCCACCAGGCATAGCCCCAGAGCTGGACCTCTGTTTATAGGGCAGGGATCAAGCCGTGTGTGTCACGTCTTGCCCTTCATTGTCTGGGCCACACGGTCACATGTTGCTTCTTAATGCTGACCTTGTTTTCTCTTTCTCTTTTTATAAAGCTTTGTGAAATTTTGGCAAAACACACAGCAGCGGCTCAGGGGCCAGGTGCAGCCACACTGGACAACCCCCGAATCCAGACAGCTTTCTCAGCTTCCTTTTCTGAACAGAAACTCCCGAGAAGACCGACTCTCCGTCTGCCCCCACCCCTGGGAAACTCTTCTGTTTTCTGTTGAATTCGACCTTTCTGGCACTTCCTACTGGTCCCTTTGCACGACCATTTTGAAGGGCATTCTGAGGATAAGGACCAAGGCCTGGGCTTGTTTTCCCTGGGAACGTGATGCTCATTTGCTTGATGATGGCATCTCACTGTGCACCCACAACAGGTGTGGGCACGCTGCCAGGCGGGAGCTCAGCACTGCTCACGAAGCAGAAGTGATAACGTGGTGGGAAGAATGGAAGAGACGTGTTGTGAGTGCGGAGACAGACCACCGCGGGCCTTGTGG